CTTCCTAAGTTAGTTCTTAGGTGGTTTTGTTATTGTTGTTTGTTTTTAAGGAATTGTTTTCCTGGTTTCTTTCTCAGCCTGTTATTGTTGGTCTGCTACATTTCTAAGGGGATTTATCAGTTCTAGCAGATTTTTTTTCGTGTGTGTGTGTGTGTGTGTGTGTGTGTGTGTGTGTGAATCTGTAAGGTCTGTCAAGCACAAAATCTTATCATTTGAGGGGCTGGGAAGTTGGCTCAGTGGTAGAGTGCTTGCCTTGCATGCCTGAGGCCTTGGGTTCAATTCCTCAGCACCACATAAGCAAAAAGAAAAAAGCTGGAAGTGGCGCTGTGGCACAAGTGGTAGAGCACTAGCCTTGAGCTGAAGGGCTGAGGGACAGTGCTCAGGCCCAGAGTTCAGGCCCCACAACTGGACCAAAAAAAAAATCTTATCATTTGAAAGTAGGGATAATTTTACTTCTTTTCTGTGTGTGTGTGTGTGTGTGTGTGTGTGTGTGTGTGTGTGTGTATGTGTGTGTGTGCGCACACACATGCAGGTACAGGGCCTTGAACTCAGGGCCTTGCTCTTTCTTGCTCACAGCTGACACTCCACAACTTGAACCATACCTCTAGTTATTTTTTTGTTAGTTGGAGATAAGAGTCTTACCAATTTGTCTACCTTGATGATTTTCAACTGCAGTCTTCACATCTCAGCCTCTTGAGTAGCTAGGATTATAGGTATGAATCACAGATCCCTGGCCTTTCTTCCCTGTTTGAATCCCTTTTATTTCTTTCTCCTACACTATTGCTCTGCTAGGAATTCTGGTATCACAGTGAACAAGAATGAGGAAAGTAAGCTGGGCATCAGTGGTTCACGCCTATAATCCTAGCTACTCAGATGGCTGAGATCTGAAGATTGCAGTTTGAGGCCAGCTGGGGCAAGAAAACCCAGGATGGTCTTATCTCCAATTAACTATCAAAAAGAAAAAGAAGAAAGCTGGAAGTAGATCTGTGGCTCAAGTGATAAGTGCTAGCCTCGAGCACAAAAGCTCAGGGATAGTGTACAGACCCTGAGTTCAAGACTAGGTGAGCATGCATGTATGCACGCGCACATGTGCACATGCACACACACGCACACACACACACACACACACACACACATACACACACACACAAGTGAAACTGGGTGAGAGCAAGGGAAGAGGTGACTTTGCCCAAAAAGAAATGTATTCTTTTTAAAAATTTTATTGTCATTATAAGGGTGATGTAGAAAGGATTTACAGTTACATAAGTCAGATAAAGAGTATATTTCTTTTTGGACAATGTCACTTGAAATGTACTCTTTACCTGACTTATGTAACTAGATCCCCTCTGTACATTACCTTTATAATAGCAATTAATTTTTTTTAAAGAGTAAGGAAAATAGACACTTGTCTCATCACTGACTTTTTTAGAAATGATTTCAGTTTTTCTCAATTTATGAGATATCCTGTTTCTTATGTCTCCTTTGCCACCTCCTCTTTTTCTGTCTAGGAAAATGGAATGGGGATGGGGAGCTGGAATCAGAGAAGTGGCCAGAGTGGGCATTAGTAGAGACCTGTTCAGATTGTTACAGAGGATCAACACAGCACTCGCACTCTCTCTCTCTCTCTTTCTCTCTCTCTCTCTGGTTGGCTGTAGGGCCTGAATTCTGGCCTGGGCGCTGTCCCTCAGCTCTTCAGCTCAAGGCTAGTGCTCTACCACTGGAGCCACAGTGCCACTTCAGGCTTTTTCTGCTTCTGTGGTGCTGAGAAATTGAACCCGGGGCCTCATGCATGCAAGACAAGCAATCTACACTGAACCACCTTCCCAGCCCAACACAGCTCTCTTGATTCACATAAAAGGTGTGAAAGAATTACAGCATGAATGAATAATCATTTTGTACATGTGATTACCCATGACCACCTTGAACAATACTTTTTTATTTTTGGTTGGTCATCAGGCTTGAACTCAGGGCCTGGGAGCTGCCCCTGAGTTCGTTTGCCCAAGGCTAGTGCTCTACCTCTTTGAGCCACAGTGCCACTTCCAGTTTATTGGTGGCTAATTGGAGATGAATCTCATGGACTTTCCTGCCCCTGATGTCTTTGAACCAAAATCCTCAGATCTCAACCTCCTGAGTAACTAAGATTACAGGTGTGAGTCACCCAGCAGATTTCTTTAAAATTAATACATTACTTGTACAGGGAAGGGTTTCTCTGTGACATTTTCACACTTGTACAAATGAATTCCAGCCAATCTTGCCCCTCATCCTTCCCCACCTCCTCCCTTCTTAAAACAATCTCAATAGGTTTCATTTGCTCTCTTTTCACACAAGCAAGCAAACCACTTCTAACACATGCATCCTCATACCCTCACTCACCGCCCTCTTGTTAGCCCAACCCTCCCCAGCAGAACTTGTTTTAGTTATCTGTCATTCCTGTGTGTGTATTAAAATTGCACTAAGGGACTTCACTATGGTATTTCAGATATGAATATATTGTGTGTTTCTCAGAATGACTTTCTATTGTTTTTCTTTCCCCAACCTCCCACACTCCTATTGATCACCAGCTTTCATTGAGTCTCTTTATGTCTTGTGTGTGTGTGTGTGTGTGTGTGTGTGTGTGTGTGTGTGTGTATGCGGGGACAGACTTGAACTCAGGACCTCATGCTCTCACTCAGATTTTTTTCTGCTCATAGCTGATGCTCTACAAGTTCAGCCATGGCCTCCCATTCCAAGATGCTTTAGGTCTTCATACATAGCTGCATAGTTCCCCCTCTTAGTTTTTTCCTCTCTTTCTTCTTTCTCCTAAATATTCCCACAGGTAGAATCATGTGGAACCATAGATGTGTTTGACAAAACCCATGACCCAGGTTCATGAATCTTACCAGAGGAATTGTTTGTCCTCATGACACTGCTTCCTACCTTTGACTTTAGACTTGTAGGTTGGACGTGGGCTAGGGATTCCTCCCTGAAGGTCTCAGGAAGTACGCTGACCCCAAGGGCTCATTTTCATTCTGGAGATCATTTTCAATCTATTCCAAGTGAGTTCCTTTCCAGATAAACTTTCCTATCACTTTCACCACACTTGGTGGCTTGCCAGAGCTCTTCTCTTGAAGGACACAAAAGTTAAGATAGATGTGCCAATTCTTCTGGTAACAAAAGTAGCCTACCCTAACCCCAGCAGACCAGAACTTGTTTTTCATTTGGGACTATGTGTAGGATGACATAATGATGAGTAATGCTCCAGAGCCAAGTTAAACTTGAGAAGGATCCACGCTGCATGGGGACCTTCTTATCAGTTCACAGGAGGCTGCCTCCCTAAGAATCAAAGTTTTGATTATAGCATGTAAGACAGGCAAATGGAGAACAAAAGAGTGAGACAGAGAAGGCTGTCAGCACATAAGCACTGAACCAAGGACTCTCCTAGCATAGACCCTTGGCTCCTGTCTGTTGCCTATCAAACTGTGGTCTTTCACTCCAGAAATGGGGGCACAGCGAGCAGTACTGCCCATGTGCTCAGGCCTGCATCTCCAATGTCACCTTTTTGGAACTGCTCTTTCGCTCTTTCTTTCCCTTCCTTCCTTTCTTCCTTCCTTTCTTTCTTTTTTAAATGTCCCACTCTCTTTTGTCCTGGATCTGGATCTGGCAGAGGTGTCTAGGTCTAGGGCAATGAGACCTGGTCATGGGTGGGTCCTGTCTGGTGCCCGGCTTCTGTAGGGGCTCTCTACTGGTCAGGGGTAGAGTGGAGCAGATGCTTTGAGGAGCTCCAGGATGCATGCAACTCCTTATCAGTTACGTGCCTTGGTGTCAGGATCCCCTCCTCCCATCTTGTGAACTTAGGCGGCCAGCATGGGCTGACATGCTGATATTGAGTAATTCAAATTGTTTGTATAGATAGTGCCCCCACAAACCCAGGGGAGATTACTTGTTGAGGGGATGGCAGTAAAAGCAAAGCACCGGCCAAAGGCACTTGGTGGATGGATGTGTTTTCTTCCTTTGGGGCAGGCGACCACCAGGCGTGGGGGATCCAAAGGGAGGGGAGTAGGAGGATGATGGGAAGGGTCTTGCGTTTTGGAATCACTGACTAGAGACTAGGACTGAGGGGAGTAAAGGGAAGGGGGGAGGAGGGGAAGGAGGAGGGACCAGGGGGAGGGGGCACATCAAGCCTCAGCCTTTCTATCTCCAGCCCCAGCCTTCTGGGTATCGCCTCTGGCTGCTCTTCGGGTTATGTAACCCCGGAACGTGGCAGCTGAGCAAGAGAAAGAGTAGGGGAGGGGAGGAAAGGAGAGAAGAGAGGCGGGGCGAGGGTGGTGGGCGTGGTGGGGATGAGAAGCGCAGCCTCTGGCTGGACCCCTTGGGCTGTCTTTCAGGATTCCTGGAAGATCAGCCCTTCCTCTTCCCACCGGGGCATCCTGTCTCCCGCCTCAGTTTCCCTATCCTTTCTCCCACCGTCCTGACAGGGGACCTGTAGCTTCTGGATGGATTCCCCACCCCCCTCCTCCTATGGTTTTAGTTTCCTCCGCAAACGTCTCAGCCATACTACTTTAGCCAAGTCAATGAGCTGCCGCTGGGAGCCTCAGTTTACCAGTTGGCAACTTGAGCAGCACATGCAAAGCGCGTAGCATCCGTGGTGCGCGGTGTAAGATAGGTGACCGCCGCGGGGCAGGCGGCCGGCAGGACGCAGTGGAAGGTTGGCTTGGCAAAGCTGGGCTCGTACTCCCGGGACGGTGGGAGAGGGAGGGGCGGGTCGGTGGGGCGGGCAGCCTCTTCCTGCGGCCCCTCGGGGCTCCCCCCCTCCGCAGCCCCTCCCCCGCCCCCGTGCCAGGACCCTCCCCGCGCTCTCCTCGGAGGTCGCAGTCCAGCCAGCGGGCGGTGGGCGGGCCGGAGGGGCGTGGGGTGATGGCGGGGGCCGGCAGGAAGGGGCGGGGGGCTCCCGAGCGACCGGCAGGAAGAAGCAAACCCGCAGATCGCGGCCAGTCACTCGCGCCCGCACCTCTGCGCTAGCCATGTGGGGCGTCCTGTTCGCCTTGGCCGCCTTGGCGCCTGCGGGGCGCCTGGGTCTGGGGGCGCCCAGCGCCTCGATGCTGGATCTGACGCCGCCTACCACCACCGAAGCCTCGGGCTCGACCCTGGCCCCTGCACAACCTCCCTCGAAGGCGAACGGTGAGCCTCCGGATCCAGACCACTCACTTCCAACACACACACACACACACTCACACACACACACACACAAGGAGCAATGACTGCTGATTCAGCAACCCCATTCCAGCCAGACCTAGTCAGCAGCCCTGGGATTCAGGCGTTAGTTGTGATGCTGGCTCCAAACTCCAACCTTCCCCTTTTACAGATGAAGAAACTGAGGCCAGCAAGAGGGGAGAAAGACGTGCAAAGGCACCAGATTCTAAAGGTCGCAGAGTAAGAGTGTGTTGGAGAAAAGTTTAGGAAAGAGTCCGGAGGGAAAGAACAACAGAAGGAGAGACCCTGTGTGGAGGCTGTGCAGAGCAAGGAACACTGTCCCCAGAGGAGGAGAGACAGGCTGCCTGACCGCCCCTGAACTTCTCCCTGAGGAAGGCCCCAGCACAGGAGTGCCAGCCTGCATAACCTGAAGAACAGATTCCAAGACAGAACGTCTCAGTGGAGAAGGACAGTGGAGACAGCCCAGAGGCTTTGGGACAGGGCATCTAGTCTTGAGCTAGAGTGAGGGGTGTAGTGCTGGGTGCTGGTGGCCCACACCTGTAATCCTACCTCCTCAAGAGGCTGAGATCTGAGGATCGAGGTTCAAACCTGGTCAGGAAAGTCCTCGATACTCTTCTATAAACCATCAGAAAAGGTGGAAGTGGTGCTGTGGCTCCAGTGGTAGAACGCTAGCCTTGAGCTGAAGAGCTGAGGGACAGCGTCCAGGCCTAGAGTTCAAGACCCATGACTGACATAAAAAAAAAGAGTGAGGGTGGTATGGTTAGGGGGGTACAGGAGACAGGAGGGGTATGAAGCATCCACAGGGAAAGAACCAAACTCAGCTCTTTGGAATGCCCAATTTCTAGGGGTTAGATGGTCAGTGGGCCAAAGATGAGGCTGGCCAGGGGGCATGTCAGGAAGAGGCACTAAAGAAGTGGCTAGAGTGGGTCAAGCTGCAGGTTTTGAACCCCGTGCTATGTCGTTTGGAAACTTGCGGTGGGCTTGCCACAGGCTGGTATGCCTTCTTGGGCTGGAAGACCATTCCCTCAGGAATGGTTTCATACTTCTTCCATCCCCAATGAATGCTGGACTCTTTTGGATTCCAGGGACCTCAGCACAACGTGTCCTAGTTCCAGTTATCAAGAAAAAAGTCATTGTGAGGAAGCGAAAGAAGGGAATTCGTCTCAGCCCCTCCCTGACAACAAGACCTTCGGTGACTACCAGTAGACCAAGGACCCTCGAAATCCCTAAGAAACAAGAATCAGGTACTGTCTCTCCAGGAGCTCTGCTCTGGCAATTACCAGCCTAGCTCCTGGCCTCATGTCCCCTGCCTGCCCAGCACATGAATGTAAGCTTAGCTTCTCACCTGTTCTGACTACCTTCCCTCTCTGGCCCAGTCTCACTGCTCTGTTCCCATCCCTAGGCTGCCCTCCATTGGGCCTGGAGTCCCTGAAGGTTTCAGATAGCCAGTTCGAGGCATCCAGCAGCCAGTCCTATGGTCTTGGACCACACCGAGGACGGCTCAACATCCAGGTGGGCAGCCTGGCTGAGTCCACTCCTCATCTTGGCCCACCCTACTCTCCCTACCTGGGCCTGACACTCTGTCCTTTGCCCACAGTCAGGCCTGGAGGATGGTGATCTATATGATGGAGCCTGGTGTGCTGAAGAACAGGATGATGAGCCCTGGTTTCAGGTGGATGCTAAGAAACCCGTCCGCTTCTCAGGCATTATCACACAGGGCAGGAACTCTATCTGGAGGTGAGGAGGCCACCTCCCTACTTGGGAAGTCATGGGTAGATACGGGAGGATTGTGGTGGGACCCTTGAGGACATCAATTATTATTTTTTCTTTCTTTTTTTTTTTTCTGTCAGTCGTAGGACTTGAACTATGGGCCTAGGTGCTATCCCTGAGCTTCTATTTTGCTCAAAGCTAGTGCTCTACCACTTAAGCCCCAGAACCACTTCTGGCTTTTTCTGCATAGTTTATTGGGGATAAGAATCAAACAGACTTTCTTGCCCAGGGTGGCTTTGAACCACAATCCTCAGATCTTAGCCTCCTGAGTAGCTAGGATGGTAGGCGTGAACCACTGGAGCCCGGCAATGATATCTTCTCCTTCCAGATATGACTGGGTCACATCATACAAGGTCCAATTCAGCAATGACAGCTGGAACTGGTGGGGGAGTAGGAATCTCAGCACTGGGATGGATGCGGTGAGTGGTCCCATAGTGGCTGAGCCCCTCTATCCTGGGAATTGGGCACCCAGATCATTGTATGGTACTTGGTTAGGTTGATGCTCCTCTGAGGATAAAGGATAGGTGTCCATTTAGGCATCTCAGGGAGAGAGGAGGAAGAGAGAGAGGGGGGCAGGGAGAAACCCAGCAGGCACCATTTGTGTGAATGAGTGCATGTGTTGGTACTGGGGCTTGAACTCAGGGCCTCAAGCCCTCATTTGCTTTTCTGCCCTGGTTGGCTTCAAACTCTGATCCTCAGATCTCAGCCTCCTGAGTAGGTAGATTATAGGTATGAGTCACCAGTGCCTGGCTGAGAGCCAAGCTTTTTTCTTTTCAGTGCTAGAGACTGAACCCAGGGCCTTATATAGTCCAGGCAAGTGCTCTGCCATTAAATCATGTCTCCAGCCCAGGATGTTTCAGGCTGCGCCCTATAACCACTCTAGATATAACATGGCCTTGTGCTGAAGTTTCCTCCTTCTGGCCCCTGGGACTCTGGCTTGCATCACTTCTTGCCTGCTCATGGCTTTGACTTCTCCGTGTTACAGACCTCTTTGAGATTTGGCTACAGAACAGAGTCCTGGCCAGCATCAGGAAGGGCCATTCCTGCACTGCATGGCCATGTTAGCCTAACCAGTTGTGACCAAGCCAGAAAACAGCTGCCTTAAGGGGCCAGGGCAGAAGTCAGGGTGTGGGGAGCAGGGTCCTGGTTTAAAACAGTGCAGCTTTCCAGCTGAGCCCAGCAGAGAGGATTAGCCAGTGAGCTCGGGAGCCTGAGTTTCTTCTCTGATCAATCTTGGGTTTTGACCAGCCCTAAAAAGGGTCTCAATGTCTCCAGGTATTTCCTGCCAATTCAGACCCAGAAACCCCTGTGCTGAACCTCCTACCAGAGCCTCAGGTGGCACGCTATATCCGTCTGCTGCCCCAGACCTGGCTTCAGGGAGGTGCATCTTGCCTCCGGGCAGAGATCCTGGCCTGCCCAGTCTTAGGTGGGCAGATGGGAAAAGGCTGGATGGGCAGGGCCTGGGTTCAGGATGCATCCTCCACTGTGAACTTTATCATGAATTCATCTTCTACCAGATTCTACTGGCTTACCTCCTGAGGCCTATGCACCAGGTTCTTCTGATACCTTGGACTTTCGGCATCATAACTATAAGGACATGAGGAAGGTCAGATATAACCCCTATGACCCAGGAAAGAGAGCCTGCTTACCCTCTACCTACCAGGGCAAAACCTGCATGTCCCTTGCCACCAACCCCATTCCCATACATTCTTCAGTTCTCTCTGCTGATTGCTAAGCTCTGCCTCAATTCCCCTTGCCCTCCCACTTCCCCTATTCTGTTCCTTCCTTCTGAGTCTGCTGCTCCACTGGTGAACCATGCCAGATGCTCTAATCAGTTTGGCCCACCACTGACTTGTAAGTCCTTCCACAGCCATGTGTTTTCTGACTCCTGGATGTAACCAGCTTATGCTCCCTTTTGTCCCCCCCCCCCAGCTAATGCAGCAAGTAAACGACCAGTGCCCCAATATCACCCGTATCTACAGCATTGGGAAGAGCTACCAGGGTCTGAAGCTGTATGTGATGGAAATGTCTGACCACCCCGGAGAGCATGAACTAGGTACTGGCAGGTGGTGTGGGGAGAGGTGGGCACAGGGCAAAGCCAAGTGTATGAAGCAGCTGTGAGCTCTCTGTGTTCTCAGGAGAGCCTGAAGTGCGCTATGTGGCTGGCATGCATGGGAATGAGGCCCTGGGGAGGGAGCTGCTTCTGCTCCTGATGCAGTTCCTGTGCCATGAGTACCTGAGAGGGAACCCACGAGTAACCCGGCTGCTCACTGAGACACGCATTCATCTGTTGCCCTCCATGAACCCCGATGGCTATGAGATTGCCTATCGCAAGGTGGGCTACCTGGCATGAGTCACACACACACACACACACACACCCCGTCCCTTCTGCACTGGTGCTCAAGAGACTGCTTGGCTTGAACAGACTCTTTCTCTTGGCAGGGTTCGGAGCTGGCAGGCTGGGCAGAAGGTCGCTGGACCTACCAGGGCATTGACCTTAATCACAATTTTGCTGACCTCAACACTCCATTGTGGGATGCTGAGGATGATGGGCTGGTGCCCCACACTGTCCCCAACCATCACCTACCATTGCCTACATACTATACGCTTCCCAATGCCACTGTAAGTATTCTGGGGGGTGGTGAGGGAAGACTACCCAGAGACCTCTTGTTGCTGTGTCCCACTTCTGATCGATCCCCATCCAGGTGGCTCCTGAAACTTGGGCAGTGATCCATTGGATGAAGCGGATCCCCTTTGTGCTGAGTGCCAATCTCCATGGGGGTGAACTGGTGGTGTCCTACCCATTCGACATGACACGGACTCCCTGGGCTGCCCGTGAACTGACTCCCACAGCTGATGACGCAGTCTTTCGTTGGCTCAGCACAGTCTATGCTGGCAGTAATCGGGCCATGCAGGACCCAGATCGTCGACCTTGTCACAACCAGGACTTCTCCATACAGGGCAACATCATCAATGGGGCTGACTGGCACACAGTTCCTGGGAGTATGTGAGGGATCCTGCGGGAGGAGGGGTGGAGTGAACCCCTTCCTGGTGGTAGACCCCTGACCTCTAAGACAGTCTGCTGTGTGCAGGGCACTCCTGTTAATTTCCACCCAGAAGTCCCTCTCAGGGGACAGCACCAGGAGTGTGGAACGCCCATCCTGCCCCCCTCCCCCAAGCTCTGATGTCTGTAATTTCTTCCAGGCATGAATGACTTCAGCTACCTCCACACCAACTGCTTTGAGATCACTGTAGAGCTGTCCTGTGACAAGTTCCCTCATGAGAATGAGTTGCCCCAGGAGTGGGAGAATAACAAAGATGCCCTCCTCACTTACCTGGAGCAGGTCAGACTGGAATCCCCCAGCCTGCTTAACTCACTCCTAGCCAGTCTGCTCTCCACGTAAGGCTGCCTCTGCCACCTGGGCTTCTTCTAAGGTCCAACCTATACGAGATTCCCATGATGGCCACTTAGCATTGATAGTCTTGGATGAATCTAGACAGGAAGTGCAGTTTGTTAGCAGAGTGGTGTCAGACAATGTGAGCCCGTGGGACTAGAGACAGCAGTCTGAGGGTTGGTCCCTAAAACTGTCCCAGATCTAGTCTCAGGGGACTCTGCAGGGAAGATATTACTCGGGTATAGAGAGAGTCACTATGCATGTGGGAAAGCCCAAAGACACAGATACTCCCTCCTCCCAGTTGGAGGTAAGTTTCTAATCAGGAGAGAAATTAACCAAAAAACGTGTCTCTTGGGAATCTTGTCGCAGTACCACTTTTATCAGGTTCACAGGAAAGCCAGAAAGTTAGTCACACTCATGCAGAGCAGAAAGGCTTTTCTGGTTTGTTTCATTGCTTGCTTGCTTGTTTTCTGATGTTGTTGTTTGTTTTTGCCAGTACCAGAATTTGAACTCAGGTCCTCAACCTTACTTGGATTGCTTATTTAGCTTGCTTGTTTGATCATTTGAACCATACCTCCAGCCCAGCTTTTTGCCGATCAATTGGAGATGGAGTTTCAAAGACTTTTCTTCTCAGGCAGACTTTGAACTATGATCCTTCAGGTCTCAGAATCTGGAGTAGCTAGGATTATAGGAACCAATGCTGTCTGGCTTACTTTTTGTTTTGTTTTGATTTCGTGATGATATGGAATCTTATTGTATAGCCCAGGGTGGCCTTGAACGAGGGATCATGCTGCCTTCACCTTAGGGTTTTAATAAACTTTTCTGTTGGGTCTAGTGGTCAGCAGATCACAGGTGTGATCTGCTGAGGATCATGAGTTCCATACCCACCTGAGATACATAGCAAAATCTTGTCTTAAAAGCAGAAACAAAACCCAAACCTTCTCCTACACAGGTGCGCATGGGCATTGCAGGAGTTGTGAGGGACAAGGACACCGAGGCTGGGATTGCTGATGCTGTCATTTCTGTGGACGGGATTAACCATGATGTCACAACCGGTAAGGAGTAGCAGAGTGAGGCCTGGGGCCCTGAGGGAGGGGGTGGGGACTTTAGACTGAGTCAGAAATGGAGAATCATCGGATGCTGACCTTGCTGCACTCTCCTCAGCACGAGACGGGGATTACTGGCGACTGCTGACCCCAGGGAATTACTCCGTGACCGCCAGTGCTGAGGGCTACCATTCAGTTACTCGGAACTGCCGGGTCACCTTTGAAGAGGGCCCTTTCCCTTGTAATTTCCTGCTCACCAAGACTCCCAAACAGAGACTGCGAGAGCTGCTGACAGCAAAGGCCAAGCTGCCCCCGGACCTTCGGAGGCGGCTGGAGCGTCTCAGGGGAAAGAAGTAATAGCTGCAGTTGAAGAGAGCTGGAGGGAGCCTTGGACAGGCTGGACCTGTCCAGAACTGAAGGGGAAGTGTGGGGGTGGGGAACAAAGTAGAAGAAGAGGTGCTCCAGCTCATTAAAGCTGCCTGGCACCTATCGCCCTGTTGTCTGTATGTCTCAAGTCCTTACCTGGGAACAGGCCTCAGGCCACCTCTCACTGTCCACGCTGCACACGTTAGCACTTAAGTCTTGGAGACATTGTGTGGAAAGAGGATCTCACATAAGTCCTGGAACCCAGGGCCTAGCAGAGCCACAAACAACAAATGGGAAAGTAGACAAATTGGACAAGTCTCAGTAAAAGTTAAAAACTTGTGGGCATTAAAGAACACTATTAGCAGATTAAAACAGCAGCTCAGAGAATGAGAAGAAATAGCTGCAAATCACAGATCTGATAAGATTTAATTAATTTTTTTGCTGGTCCTACGGCTTGTGCTTTGGACCTGGGTTCTGTCCCTGAGCTTTTGTGCTCAAGGCTAGTGCTCTACCACCAGATCCATAGCTCCACTTTTTGTCTTTTGTGGTTAATGGGAGATAAGAGCCTTATGGACTTTGCTGCCTATCCTGGCTTTGAATCTCAATCCTCACATCTCAGTCTCCAGAGTAGTTAGGATTACAGGTATGAGCCATCTGGCTATTCATATATAAGATTTATATAGAACTCTGAAAACTCAAGAATAATAACCAAACAACAACTCAGGGCTGGCAGCATGGCTGAAGCTGTAAATAAAGTACCTGTCTAGCAAGTGCGAGGACCAAAGTTCAAACCCTATCCAGTACTGCCAAAAAAAATATAAGCAACCCAATTACAAAATGGATAAAGTGTGTGCTGTGGCTCATACTTGTAATCCTGTCTACTCAGAAGGATGAGATCTGAGGATTGTGGTTTGAAGCCAGCCTGGGCTTCAAGAAAGTCTATGAAACTCTTATCTCCAATTAACCACAAAAATAAAAGGCCAGAAGTGGAGCTCTGGCTCAAGAGTGCTAGCCTTGAGCAAAAAAGTTCAGGGGCAGTGCCTAGGCCCTGAGTTCAAGCCCCAAGCCCATGACCAGCACACATACAAAATGGACAAAGGTTTTAGCAGGCATTTCTCCAAAAATGATATAGAAATGGTCAATAAATATGTGCAAAAAGTATAACATTACAGATCATCATAGAAATACAAATCAAAACCATAACAAGATGCCACTTCAAACCCAATAAAATGCCTATATCACAAAGTTAGAAAATATGGTCAGAGGGCTGGGAAGGTGGCTCAGTGGTAGAGTGCTTGCCTTGCATGCCTGAGGCCCTGGGTTCAATTCCT